TTGTTAGTAGAAGTTGTGACCACTAGTACTGAATTGTACTTACAATAAAAGTATGAAAGCAATTGAAAAATGACACGATTTCAATTCTTCATACTACATCAGTCGTCACATTGGAGACGGGCAAGAACAGAAGAAACTTTTTAATACTGTTCAAGTTTGCTTGAAATACTCACTCACTCAAGTCTCATAGACTCTCTGAGGAGTAAGGGGGCCACAGCATTTGTACCATGAACTAGGGGAGGAGTATGGGTACTACAGCACTTGTACCATAGATCATCTGAGGAGGGTGACAGCACTCAAGTCCTGTAAACCCTCTGAGTATTATGAGGGCCACAGCATTCAAGTTCTGTAGACCCTCTGAGTAGTGCGAGGGCCACCACACTTAAATCCTTCAGACCCTCTGAACAGTATGAGGACCACAGAACTCATACCATAGACTCTCTGAGGAGTATGGGACCCACATGGCTTCATAACAAGAAAGCTTTTAAAGGATGGATTTGATAGCCTCATGTTCAACCAATTTTATATTCAGCATATTCCTTCTAGACTGGTTGTAAACAAAGGCTGAAGCTATTTATTACATTGTCAGTGAAAGAAGTGATGGATTCATGCCTTTCTTAATGCTATTTATATGAAAAGTGAATGTAACAAACTTGACTGGAATCTGAACTTGGCTCTTTGATTTCTCATTCTGAGTTGCTAACCATTATACCACCTGCACATCCACAAATAGCAAGGAGTTTTTATTTTGAAATAAGTCCTTTTAATGTAATATGAAGTCTGTCCAGAAAGTATCTAGCCATTTAATATGATTATTTACACTATTTATTTACAAACCATTGTCCTCATCTTTATTGTTATCATGACATTTCGGCCAGGGTACCTTCCAGCCTTCCTCAGGTGTATATCGAGCTTGGTAGCCTAAAGGAATTTCTGAACTGAACACTTTATTTAATCTATGTCTAGAGATATTTTTTTTATTTTTAGTACTGCTCAGTTATTGCTTACCTGTTTCCACTGAGTCCAAGCACACACTGCCCAACTCAAGGATTGAATTTGCAATCACTGTAACCAAGATCAAAACCCAAAGCTTTAATCCAATAAGCCATTGTCCCATAGATTGAATAAAGGGCTCAGTTCAGAATTCATTATAGGTTACCCAGATTAATATACACCTGAGGAAAACCAGATGGCACAACAGATTAAATATTGTGATAACAACAACAAAGATGAGGACAATAGTCTGAAGGTAAATAATGGTAACTCCTCACCCCAGACATTCAGAAAGACAGCAATCAGGTGATAATAACAACAAAGATGAGGACATTAGTCTGAATGTAAATAATGATAACTCTTCATCCCAGACATTCAAACAGAAAATCATTTAATATGAATGGAAAATAACCTATCTAAAGCAATGGTTCCTTTGTCCCCTTTAAATTGATCTCTTTGGGACTTTGAATTTACCTCACTATCCTTTTCATTTTTCAAAACAAACTTCTGATTCCTGTTTTGAAATTGCTATCAGCTGCTTTATTTCGTTCTCCTTAATCTCGACCACACCATTAAATCTGAACTCTTGTGGGGTGTGGCTGACAGACCTGTATGATATGATTTTTCAAAAGAGCTCTGTATGAGATGTGAAAAAGCTACTTGCTTGTCATTATGAATGCTCTAATCAAAACGATACATAGGCTAACCCAATAGCATCTCACTGCCGACCGAGTAACCACATGGGAGAGACCTTGTTCACACATGTGCTATAAAGTACTCTCTCATTGGTTAACAACTTACCTCAAAACTGTGCAATTGATTCTCAAAATATTTGGAATGCTTTGATATGTTCCAGACAGACTTTGTATTGCCATTGAGAGAACGTTGAAATTGACCAGAAATGTAATATTGACATTGAATTTCATTTGCCACCATTCCAATCATTTTTCCCCCAATATGTTTGGAAAGAACACAAACTTTAAAACTTCTATTTCTTATTTCTTATATAGACACCATGCATGCATGAACAACACTGAAAAATAAAACTGTTCAAATCTGGCTGAATGCAGAACCAAGACATTATTGCCTCTTCTTTTGGCTGGTCCCACCACCAGTCATCCACATCTTTTTTTTTTTTCTCTCTAGCAGCTGGTACGATACAGGAAAAGAATGAGTGAAAGAAACTGAAGTTCACTCTTTTCCTGAGACTGAATCAGTAATGGCTGCTATATCCATTGTAAGTTATTGTTGAAAGGAACTGATTTTTGGAACTTCTCTTCATTGCTCCTAACCCTGAAGTTTTCTTTCATCAGAGGGTCAGACTGATAACTTGACTGTCACTCTAATCATTATGTCAGATACTTTTAACTTTTTTTCTCGTATTTTGAATGTGATATTTTTGGGAAACTAAATAACATCAACTATTTTCATTAATAATTTTTTGTATTATTTTTCTTGTTTTTATTATGCCGTTGGAACAATTCGGTAGCCATGATATATTTGTGAAGGATATTAAAATAATCCAGAACCTATACTTGCATCAAACCACTTGCATATGGATAGAAAATGAATTTAGTAAATATATGAAAATAGAACGGGGTGTAAGACAAGGGTGTGTCTTCTCACCAGACTTATTCAACCTGTGCAGTGAGGTAATGCTGACATAATTATAACTCCTACCAAGATTCATTATTGGCAGCCATAATCTTAACAACATAAGATATGCAGATGACAATTTTGATACTAGAGAGAAAAAGGATATATTGTTGGATATTATTTGTTTAGCAGCATATCAACATCTTATGGGTCATTTAATGCTGATATATTGGATCGGATTTCCTACATTTTTCAACCGATTTCAACAAAACTTCACAGGACTGCATAAAATTACCTTGCGGTGGTTCTGACAGCGCCAAAAATTGGAAAAACACAATTGTTTTTGCACGAAATCAATTTGAAAACATGATAAAACACAATTCTGTCGCGAGAATGAAAGGGGGACAACTCATATCGAGTTAGAACTTATTATAAAACCCAGGTTGTGTGTGTGTGTGTGTATGTTTGTTTATATATGGGATCGGATTTCCTACATTTTTCAACCAATTTCAACAAAACTTCACTTTTTTGGGGCAGGTAGTGTTTCTTATTGTCTTGCACATTTTTTTCTTTATTTTTACATTCAGAATGCTTTAAAAATTCCATTTACAAGACAATTGTTTATAATAAAATTCTATTCAATCAATAGACTCATAACGATTGAAAACAATGTTTTTGTTTGAGTTTGGGTTTGACCAATTTGTAAAAAAAAAAACAAAAAAAAACTAATTAAGACATGCGTGTACATCAACCTTAAACAATAATCTTTGTCAATTTTATTTTTAAGTCTTTATGATGGTCGATACTTGATCTATCTCTTACTGTTACATCCCCGGGCAACGCCGGGCTCTACTGCTAGTACCTAATAAGCTTGTGTAAATGGTTGACAGAACAGGGTTTAGGAGGGTTAGCAAAATAAACAAAATTTACTAAGCTACAAAAGACAGAAAATGGCACAGATCTATGAATGCCAATGTCTTGAAGGGACAACAAATTCCTTCTTTTTATATGCTATGTCCTTTCAGGACATAGTCGATCATGGCTCTCCACCTCCTTCTATCTCTTGCAGCTCTCAACAAGTTCCTTCCCTCTGCTTCCTCCCCCAGACCACATTCTGTCATCCACTTGCTTAAACCTGCAAAATATATCACGTGTTGTTTTCCTTTGTCTCTCTTTCCCTCTATTCGACCCGTGAGTATCAGATTCTCCAGGCCCTCCTTCCTCATTATGTGTCCCAGAAACTTCAGCTGCCTCTTCTTCATATTAAGTATAAGCCTCCTTCTTGTTTGAAACTTCTCTAAGACCTCATTGTTGCTCACATGCTCAGTCGATGATATCCTTAGCATCCTTCTGTAGAACCACATCTCTGTCACCTCAAGTCTCTTCTTCGTCTTTAAGGAAATCATCCAAAATTTGCTGCTATAAAGAACACATGTCACGTAGCAGTTCAGTATTCTTTTCTTTGTTACCAAAGAAATCCTCCTGTCTTGCAATACTCTGCCCAGCGTTTGGAATGTGTACTTTGCCATCCCAATATGTCTACGTATATGGGATTATTTACATAGGGATTGGCATTTCTATCTAGAATCAGTATAGTATGTGTGTGGGCTCTAAATAGGGTTAAATTGATGCTTCCTGCTATTTTTCCTAGGATCAGAGTGTAGTATCTGTTTTTCACCTCTTTACTCTTTGGACAGTTCACAGAAAAGCTTTGAGTCTTGTCTGGTACTGCGATTACATTAAAGAGAGATGGTTGGTAGATACCAATACCAGTGATTCTAAATAAAATATAAAGAACAACCTGCAATGTTATTGGTCCTGACTTGGCATCTCACCTTTAGTCATTTTCCCATCACCATAATGTAGCTTCCCTGTGCATTTTCTAAAAATATTTTTAAGGTAATTGTTCTGATGAAATTTCCTCTTCAGTACCAAAACTTTATGAATTTAAGCACAGTACTTGATTGGTGACAAGGTTTCGTCATTTTATGGTTGAAATGGCTGGATGTAACCGTAAGTTCTATGCTAACAGTTTCTTCTATCGCACTTCTCACTTGTGGAACTCTCTTCTGGCTTGTTGCTTCCCAGTTAAGTTTGATCTTTAAAAATTTAAATGCAATGTCAATCATTATCTTCTGTTTTCTTCATTTTTGTTCTTTTATTGTTCCCTCTCCTGAATGTTTTTTTTACTCATATTCTCTCACATTCAGTAACTCTTTGTGTCTTAGTGGCTTTATTGCCTTACTTAGGGTGAAATGATTAAAAACAAAAATAGCAGCAGCATTGTGAAAAACAAAGATGAATAAATTAGTCCCAACAAACTACATGCCACTTCCTTATTGTTTTTAAATGATAATTTTGTACCTTTTTATTTATAAAAATTAATTAATGAAGAATTAATTTCCATTCAGACATTGTTCAACCCAAACAAGACAGTTGTGAAGATGTTTGTTGTGATGTATGATCTTCAAGACATGCCATCCAATGCCCAGACTTTCATGCGACAGCGGACAATGTACATGCCTGCGGATGCTGAAAGCCAGGAACCTTCGTATCTACGATACTTGATACATTTGAGGTAAGAATCCAATAAAGAATTTTTTTTTTTTTTTAGTTTCTTTCCTCATTTGGAAAGCTCTCTTCTGGCTCCATTTCTTTTAACTTTGACCTTCAAAAATTTAAATGCAATGTCAGTCGTTATCTTCTGTCCTTTTAATTCCTGTTCTTTTATTGTCACTTCTCCTTAATGTTTTTCCTTATATTCTTTCACACTGAGTAAACGCCCCACCACCACATATTAGTATCACTGCTGCTATGCTTGGGGTACCCCCCCACCCCACGTATTAGTATCACTGTTGCTATGCTTGGGGTAACACCCTCCCACATATTAGTATCACTGTTGCTATGCTTGGGGTACCCACATATTAGTATCCCTGTTGCTATGCTTGGGGTAACCCCCCACATATTAATATCATTGTTGCTATGTTTGGGGTATCCCCACCACCACCACCACACACACACATATTAGTATCACTGTTGCTATGCTTGGGGTAACACCCCACCACCCACCACCACATATTAGTATCACTGTTGCTATGCTTGGGGTTAAATGATTAAAAAAAGAAATCTTGGGATTAATTGGCAATTTTGTATACCAGGCTGATATTCTGAGGGGATCTACAGTTTTCATGTGTTGCAAGGAACCATATTTGCATATACATAGCTTTTTTTGTGACATTAAATATGTATACCTCATATGTATATGATTACTCAGATCAGATAATTCATTTGTCATACCAGTAGTTTACCGACTGTTTTCACACATGCATACTTTTCACCACGTTTCAGACTGTCATCTCCCACCCTTCCAAGATTGTCCCATACACCCTTTTCATCACACTTCAGACTGTCCTCTCCCCTACCCTTCCAACATTGTCGAACAATGATACTCCATGTTTTTCTCCCCATGCACTATTTTCACCATAATTCATAATGTCATTCAAACAAAAAGGTTAGAAAGGAAACCCCATCAATGCTGGAAAGAGTTATAACAGCTACTGGACTTGAGAAATCTATTTTCTTGAGAAATTGTTTCAAGAGAAAGATTTTATAGAACTTCAACCAAAAAAAGTAATGGTTGCTTGGTCAATGATTGCCAAAATGTTTCCTTATGACAAAATGGCTAATACTACCATTATCATTTCCTACCCTTCTCAGATGTGTGGCTGGTGCAGTGGATAGCAGTTTGGAATGAGAAACCAGAGAACCAAGTTCAAATAACCAATCGAGTTCATTACATTCACTTACCTTTGGGTATAAATCCATCTCCTCTCATCTGCTATGGGTTAAATAGTAAGACTTGTAGGATTTGTATTAATCATATTTCCATCTTTATTTCAAATCTTCATGCCACCAGCTCCATGCTTTCCAGCCAACTTTAATCTGCAAAACTTTAAATGAAATGTCAATTGCTAGCTACTGTCCTCTCGGTTACTCTTTTCTCTTTGTGCTCATTATTAATATTTCTGTTCTTAATTCTTCTACACCCTGTAACCCTTTGCATTTTAGGGGCTTTACTGCCTTGCTTGGGATGATACTGACTTTAAAAAAAAATTGTTTGTTACTACCTAAAATAAAAAATTAAGTTATTTGAATTCATAGATGATGAATTTTCATCATCAATTTTTGGCTACTCTTTTCTTTGTTTCAGTATTGCTTTTCATCATAAAACTCTGCATTGTATATCCGTGGCATATTAAAACAAGTTGGGAGAAAGTAGTGGCTTCTGATGGTACTTGAATTTTGTCCCCCTGGAATGGGTTAAATAGTGAGACTTGTATCTGGAAAAATAATTGTTATTCTCAAAAAAAATGTTCCTGAGTTATGGTGTTAACCAGTCAATTATCTTCACTGAATGTTCTGTCTGCAATCAATTAAAAGACAATGGTGAAGTACACTTAAAGTACACTTAAATTACACTTAAAGTACACTTGAATACCAATGAGCATTAAGTGTACTCCACCATAGTGTCCTAGATATATAAATAGAAACACAAATATAAAATACAGGGTGTTTCAAAAAATGATGACGGGTGTTTAAAATTCCTGAAAGTTTGTTTGGAGTTTACAATGCGTTATGATATGTGTATAAGGCCTATGACAGTGTGAAAAATATTATACACCTTGTCTGGAGGCCACTTAGATTTTGAAGCCATAGGCCTCAGCCTGCTACGTCTATAGGTAAATCTGGTACTGTTTCTGTTCAATAATATTAGTAAACACTATACGTTCTTTTCTTTTTTTTTTACTTATAATTAAATAAAATAACTATATGCAGGGTGTTTCAAAAAATTTGATATCATTTCGCAATCTAATAACTTTGTTAGATCTCCTTCAAATTACTACAAATTTTAATAGCATCTTTATGTTTAATGTTTGTTTTATGTTTTTCTGTCTTTATGGATCGGGCGTGCTGGTGTTAAAGACAGTGTGTTGCCTGAAATGGCCGCCCCGTTCACCTGATTTAACACCTTGTGACTTTTTCCTCTGGGGCTACGTGAAGGAATGGTGTATGTTCCCCTCTTCCTGCAAACACAGAAGAACTCAAGCAGAGAATCAATACAGCACTGGAGACTGTTATCCAAGATATGCTTCAGCATGTTTGGCAGGAGCTGGATTACCGACTTGGCGTATGCCGTGTCTCATATATATGGTCGCATATTGAACATTTGTGAAATCGTTCACATAATCCACATGCTTTTGAATTTCTCATTCAGATTTGGAAGAATAAATCTTATGATCTTCAACATTAATACTTTTTAAATTCATTTGCCTTAATCATGTACTTTCTGTGATATTTACATCTCAAAGGATATCAAATTTTTTGAAACACCCTGTATATACAGATTTTACCAGTTAAACAGAAAATTTTAGAGAAAACATTTTTTCATAGCATAGATATTAATAATATGTAGGACTTCTGTAATTATTATTACCTTTGCTATTGTAGCACATCTACAGACAATAATGGGTATGTCCCCATTCACATAAATACAGTAGTAAATACTGTATGTTGGTCTACAGTTGGAGATTCAGACAAGGCTATGTCGAAGGGCAGAGTTACGTCTTGGGAAACAGCTACCTGACCCCATTTTATACGGGATCTATGGGGAGTTTTTGGCTAAGCATATGTCCTTGGATACCCCACGTTAAATTCAGCTTTGTTCCACATCTGACTGCATGGGGCGGTTGGTAGATATCCTGCAGATATGGTATACATTTGACTCATTTTTAGCAGTTGACTACTTCTATGCAGTTCTTATATGAGTTGTTCATGTGCTAAGTATTATCGTTCATTACCAAACTTTGTTTGATTATTCTATCTATTAACCTTTCCTAGGTTACAAAATATGCTATGAAATAATTTTGTCTAATATTAACTGAATTTGTTTTTCATTTTAACTGGTTAAAAGGTGATCTATTATATATATTTTATCTATCAGTTCATATCTGTATATCAAGTTAATTGCTGATTAAATTTTTTTTTTAGTTTTAATCATTTTACCTCAAACAAGGCAATAAAGCCACTATGACGCAAGGAGTGTTGATTTTAATTTCAGTGGAAATGACTGCAGAACACGTGCCCCTCCTCTTTTTTAGGAAAAAGCACACAAATGCATGGTGTGATTTTTTTCTCAGCCAATAAAATAGGCAGATTTGTAGTTTGGCATGACATAGTTCTGATCTGCCTTGTTTAGAAGTCAGAATCCTATGTTTGCTTGTTGACACCAATTCTTAGTTTGTGACTTTTTTACCCTGTTCCGTTTTATTGTAAACTTTGTTAATTCTGTTTGTTGGATATTCTTATTCTTTCTTTTGCATTTGATCATGGCTAATCACTCCACAAAGGGTTACTGAGTTTTAGAAAGTATAAGAAAAAATAAAATACTATTAACAAATTGGGAGAACAATAAAAGAATAAGAATTAAGAAGACATTAAAGTATTGAGGGATAATGATGAAGAAACACACATGTTATGTTTAATGAAACAAGATAAGGAATTTATTTACACATTTGAAGTTGTCAATAGCTTGTTTCCGGAAAAAGAATCAAATATTTAAAGTTTGTAGTTTCGATGACTTGTCAAGAAGAGAAAATGTTCATATTAAATCATCAGACACTAAATATATAAAGTAATATTACAAAATGTTTAAAAGAAATTGAGAGAGTTCGTTTTTCACGTAAAAGTTATACGGTTGTATTCAACATGAATGAAAAGATATATTTTGAGGTACTTAGCTTTGGAGTTGAATAGAGTTCTTTGAAATTTGTCCTGCTCTCTTTAGAGGCATATAATGTATCAATGTGTAATTTGATACTGGAGTTATTTAGATGCATGGAACTTTGATGTTTTGCCTCCTGCTTCCTTCTACTTTCTCTCTCTCTCTCTATACCTTGATTCAACTTTCTCTGCCTATTTATATCAAAAAGTAATTTCACATCCACTTACTTTTTTCTCAGTCACTCAATTTTCCATTGGTCAAAATATATTTTCCCATAGGCTTGTTAAACTTTACCTTAGTCTTTTGTTCAGCTCGGAGCCAATCCCTTTTTCTATAGGTCAAAATAAATTTTCACATAGTCTCAAGAATTTGAAAACAGTGGAGAAAAGAGAGTTATTTTTATTTCATATTCACCACATCGGGTGAACCTGATGTGATAACAATTTACATTGCATTTAAATTTTTGAATATCAAAGTTGACTGGAAAGAAAGAAGTTGAAAGAGAGTTCCACAAGCAAGAAGTGCAATAGAAGAAACAGTATAGAACTTATGGTTAAATCTAGACATTTCAATTTTAAAATGATGATACCTTGTTGTCAATCTAGTACTGTGCTTAAATTCATAAAGTCTCGTTTACCAGAAGAAAATTCATATTGACTAAAATTTAAATCAGTTGATCTTCATCAAATAAAGTTTCAGAAAAAATATATTTATTTTTGAAAGATTTTTTTTCAATAAGGCAAAATAGGTGTTAAAAAATTTGTTAATATGAACAATTTCAGCAACGTTACTGATAAAAAAGAAATTCAATCAATTTAAATTCGGTTTTAAACATAAAAATTATTTTGCTTGTTGGAAATACTAAATTTAATCTATTAGCTTGGAATTAAAACTAAACTAAATGCTTGTAGAAAGATTTTTCATTTTTAAAATGCTTTTCAAACATTAGATATTGCTTCTTAGTGATAACAGTAGCAATTAGTTGGAGCAGAGGTGTACACACACTACACCGTAATAATTGCTGTTATTCGTGTATGAAGTCTGTATTCATATGTTATACATGGTTCAGAGGGAATATTATATAAAATATCAAAATCCAAATTATTTTTGTTTCAACTCGCTCAAGATCAAGTAGAAAGCAAAAGTTGGTTTGGGGGAGATAACTCTAGTCGAAAAATTGAAAATGTTAAGGGAGGTAACTCTGTTCTTTTCATGATGGTTGCGATACACAAATTTTAGCGATTCTGTTTATTCATGTTTTTCATATCTTTTTTTAAAATTTCTTATTACTAATGTTCACTCTATACAAGGCCCAACGGCCACTCAAAGTAGAGTATAACTTTATTCTTAGCTGTGTCTGCTTACGGATAAATTTTCTAATTGTTTTTTTTTTTCTTTTGCAGAATATCCAGTAGTAGATCAGGGAAGTTGTACCTACACACTGACATCCGTCTTATTTTTGCCAGAGACAAATTTGAATATGATGCTCGTGTTGCAAATTATGAATTACGATCGTTTACAGAAGGACCAAAAAATCCTAAATTTTCACCAAAGAGGTGATGATGGGAGGATCTAGGGAAAAAAAATCATTCAATTTTGCTTTTTTTTTATTCTTTATTTTAAATGATTCAATTTTATTTATTGAAAAATCCTTTGGGCAGTACATGAATTAACCAAAAAAAAACAAAACAAAAAAAATGGTTATTCTTATGTATATTTTTTTTTCCTTTTTTAAATGAATGTGGATCATGAAAAAAAAAATAATCTGCAGTAACAAAGAGAGAAAAAAAAAAATCAAAGTTTAAAAAAAAGAAAAATAAGGACACAAAAAATAAACCAATTAACAACAAAATTACTTTAAAATAAAACAACTGATTTAAACAAAAAGTTAATATAATGGAACAATAAATTTATCCAGTGAGAAAATAAACTCTGAAATGGGGGGGGGCAAGAAAGACATAAATTGATTTTCAGGACTTATTTGCCATTACTTCCCACCCTCAAGACATCTTTCATCGATGGATCAGATTGATAACTCGACTATCACTCTGTAGCGATTATATCGACTACTTATTAAGTTTTCTTATTTTTTGACCATGACAACTTATTTTTTCAAATATCAATTACCAATGAGTATCTCCTTTATTTATCTTTGACGAGTCTTTTCATCATTTTGTTATTGTTTTGTATCACAATGTACCCAGTCAAATATGTTTTGGCTGTTAAAGTAGTTTTTTTTTTTTTTTAAATATATACATACTAGATTTTACTGAATACAAGGTTCAAGAACCACTTATGATAGATAGTTACAGAGAAATTGGTAATGATGAATAAACAGTTCGATATGAATGGAAGAGAAGAGAAAGATAGAAAAGAAAAGATATGAATTAGCTTTTGGCTTTAAAGAGATTATGGTTGTAGTTTTCAAAGAAGCTCTCATGTCAGAGTCAGTTCCCCAAAGTGGCAGTCCTTGGCAGGGGTACAACAAAGCTGAGTGGAATGTAAAGGAAATGAGGGTGATTTGACTCTGTGGAATGATCATGGCACATTCTAGCTGTAAGGATCTGAACTGGTGATACTAAAGAATGGATTTCATCTGAACATTTGCCATGGAAATAGTAGCATTGGAATAAAAAATAATGCTTTTTATAAGACTTGCATTCCAAATTTTGGGATCTTGTTATATTTCAGCCCATAGAATGCAAGTTAAGTCTCATCACAAAATTGATTTTTATTTCAATATTAGTCTACCTTACCTTCAATGGTCAGGGTGTATTCAACTGGTTGCGTTGTGATTCATCTCAGTGAATAGAAATGAAAACTCATCAAAAATTAATGATGAAAAAACTCAATCACAGAATTTGAGTATCTTGAGATGCTGGTGCAAGTATGTCTGCAATGACTGACTGAACCAATCAGCCAATCAATTGACTTGATCACCTATTGATTATTGTTTTTTTCTTTTTTTTTTAAAGTCAGTTCTTTAGGGTGGATGGCTGACCAAACTGACTGATGACTTCACTGACCTGGTCAACTCTCTGTTGACTGGAAGACTGTCAAAACTGACTGACTGATTGATTGATCAGTCAATTACTTGTTGATCAATATATTGATAATTCAAAAGAAGCAAAGAATAGCAAATATTTTTTTTTCTCTTTCTAAGAATTATGACCGTTTTTGGACATTATTATAGGCAACTTTGTGATAATGGTCCAGTGAAGAAAACGTACTAATTTTTTTTTTTTTGACTATTTCTCTATCTGCCTCTTTGTATGAATGTGTGCACATGTATGCAATGTTTCGTATGACTGTATGCAAGTGTTGGTGAAAGAAGGTTGATTGAAAAAAAATGAATTGTAGCATTGACTTGACTTTTGGGAATTCTTGCTACATGGCTCTCTTTGAGGTCTCCATATTTCTGGCAGTGATTCTGTGGCATATGGATCCTCTGGAAGAAGGTTTCCTTGTGGAGAAGGTTGATGATGACTGACAGCATATTTGGCCATATTTGAACACTGCTGTACTTGAGAAGACAACATGGTGTTTTTAAGCTAAACTTTGTAAATCTCTCCTTTCCTATCTCTCCTTCTTCCCCTCTCTCTTTCTCCACCTCTCACTCTCTTTCTCCTTCACTTCCCCCTCTCTCTTTCTCTCCTTCAATTTTCCCTCACTCTTTCTCTCCTTCAATTTTCCCTCTCTCTTTCTCTCCTTCACTTTCCCTAACTCTCTTTCACTTTCCCTCTCTCATTCTCGTTCACTCTCCCTCTCTCATTCTCGTTCACTCTCCCTCTCTCATTCTCGTTCACTCTCCCTCTCTCATTCTCGTTCACTCTCCCTCTCTCATTCTCGTTCACTCTGCCTCTCTCTTTCTCGTTCACTCTGCCTCTCTCTTTCTCATTCACTCTTTCTTATTCACTCTCTTTCTTCTTCACTCCCCTCTTTTTTCCTATATGTAATATATATTAAGGAACAAATTCTTAGACTATCCTTACGGCTATATATATATATATATATATATATATATATATATATATATTTGGGGTGGGGCAGTTATTGAGTTTTATGTGTGTGTGTTTTTTTAAAAACATTACAAAAGAAACATTTGTGAACATAGTCAATCTTTTTTTTTGTTGTTCTCTTCACTTAGAAAAAAAAAAGAGAGAAGGAGAATTTTTTTTGTCTGACAATAGATAAATGACTGAAAACAAAGACCAAAAAAAAGAAACAGTTAAAAAAAAATACAGTTAACCAAAAACAGTTACAAAGAGACTGAAACTTTATTTATTTTTTCTATCATATTTAGAAAGAAAAAAGACAAAAAAAAAAGATAAAAACTCATATAAATGAATAAATAATAAATAAAAAATTTAAAATCTTTAATATAAAATTTTATGCAGGATATAAATTTCTGTGATGTTTCATTTATTGTTGAAATATTTAATGAAAAAAATAATAAATTTGTTGAAATTTTCTTTAAAAAAAAAAAAAAGAAAAAAAAGAAAAAAGTTTTGCCATTAGTGCATACAGTTGAAAAGCCTGTATTATTTCTGATTACCCTGGGCTGCAAATTTTGAAAAACATTTTGGCTTTGGAGGTAATGTATCTCTTTCTCTTTATGGATTATGCAACACTAAAGAAACTAGAAAAAAAAAAGAAAAAAAGTATTTAAATACATTTTTAACTTTATATGTAGTTTCTTTAAGAATGCTTGTTGAATAAACTCCAAGACTCCCACATTTGGGTCAAAGGATTTGATCCAATCCAATAGATAACTTTGATGGACTCATTTTTCCACCTTTCCCTATCAGAGAAAAATGGTGGAATTGTCCATGATTTTCAGTTGACAAGTTATTTTCTTCAAATAGATTAGACCAAACATTATTTTAGTTGAACCTTCTTATTTGAAATAGAGGCCCCATCATCATTTATTTATTAAATGGGGGGTATTATGTCTTTCAGTTGACACATTCTAGAAATTAAAGTAAAGAAAATGTGTCCTCCAGCAAGGATCAAATCTACATCCCCCTTTGCAGGAGAAACCAGCATTTTATCTGGTGTGCTTTACCATTCAGCCACAAGGCACTTCACAGCAAGCAAGACACTTTTAGATGTAAAGCACACAGTTTAATAAATAAAAATGTGGCGTCTATTTCAAGTAAGAGATATCCACTATTATAATGTTTGAAGTAATAAAATAAATCCATTAATTCTTGTGTGTGTGTGTATATATATATATATATATATATATATATATATATAATCATACACATGACCAACCATGACTACCAGTTTCTTGTGAGCTAATGAATGCAGCCATTAGGCAATCTGTACTGGCCTGTTCGTTGATATGGGTGTTTATACCCCCTTGGCTAACTCAAGTTGTTACAATGAGGGTAGATGATGAATATATGTAATGTACTCACCAACTAAAGCCACAGAAGGGGGAATATCTACTGAAGATTGAATTTCCCAGAAATCACTGTTATTTGAGGAAAAAAAAAACATCCCCAAAGTACCAGAATCAGTTTATTTATTACGGTGTGCATTAGCTCGCAAGAAACAGATAGTTGGGTTTGGTTACATGTTATTATGATGAATATAATGTAAATGCTCTGCTATTGCAACAGTGAGCACTTTTTTTCAACTGTGCCATCTTAGTATATTTCTTTGGGAGTTACGCACACACGCACACATACATATATAGATATATATGTATGTGTGTGTGTGTCTGATAGATAAAATAGGAAATATTTATACTTTTATTTAAGCATCCTCAGAAAATAAAATATGGAGGAGAAAAGAAAATTCTGTTTTTTTTTATTTTTGTGTTGTTATTTGTTTTTCACTTGTTATTCACATGTATATGTCTTGTCAGGTAGCGTTCATTTGTATAATTCTTGTATGTTTCTAGTAGTGACCATACGTTTATTGGGGGATGTTTTCTATGTGAAAAAATTTAGGTAACATCTGTTAAGGTTGTAGGTAGACAGATCTTAGATTCTTTCAGTGTGAGTTATATAAAAGTGAGTGATTTAATAAAGTGTGTTTATTGATGGGTAAAAATTAATCAGGATTCCTTCAAAGTATTTTCTACATAATAAATAATTATAGATATTAACACTGCTTGAGGTCTGCATAATCAGCATAAAACAAGATAAAATTAAAAAAAAAAAATATCAGAATTTTCTTTCCTCCTGCATATTTCATTTTTTGGTGTATAAAAGTGAAACCCATTAGATTTATAAACATTTCCTATTTTTCCTTATCCTATCATATATCATATACAGCATCCTATATATATGTTTCACTAAAGATGATTGACAAGATACAAACATAAGGGTATTAAATAAGTTTCCTTGGGTTCATATAATTTCTTTTTCTTTTCCGGTTATAAGTTATGTGAAAATTGTCCAAATGTTCTGTCCAAACACTTTCAGCTATTCTTTAAGCCATTGTCAAGGATAATTTTTATTCTTAGAGGAATACAAGCAAAAGAAAAAGTAATTAAAAAATACTTACAAGACCTAGTCAGTTATCTTTAAGGAAACTTGTTTAAAAGAGCAATTGCTGTCCAAATACACAATGTGTGTGTGTGTGTGTGTGTGTGTGTGTGTGTGTTATATATATATATATATATATATATATATATATATATATGTATATATAAAGTATTTTTAATTATTTTTTTTTTACTATATATATATATATATATATATATATAAAGTATTTTTTAATTACTTTTTTTTACTATATATATATATATATATATGTGTATATAAAAGTATTTTTAATTACTTTTTTTTTACTATATATATATATATATATATATATATATGGTAATCAAAAAAGACTTTGGGGTGTGTTTCTCATTTCATTTTGAGTTACTAAGTTTAAAGAAAGTTTACGGTAGATGGAGCTGTGTTACTATATAGACTAGGTTACATTAGTCGCTAGTGTGTCCTTGATGTTAAATACGTATAGTAGTGAGTTAACTTAGGAGATTTCCGTTTAACAATGGTAGGATATTCATATCGTGAGAAGGCAGCTATGAATTTTACATGTGTGGCAATGTGAAGGTAAGGAACATGAAGGCATATTTAAACATAAAAAATCAAAAATGAACGATTTGCAAACCGATCTTTGTGTGGAGTTATGTCCTTGTTCAGATGTGGGGAATCTCTACCCTCAAAGGTGTAAAAGTATTTTTGATACACACACACACACACACACACACATATATATATGTGTCTATATATATATATATATATGTGTGTCTATATATATAGGTGTGTGTGTGTCTATATATATATATATATATATATGTGTGTGTCTATATATATGTGTGTGTGTGTGTCTATATGTATGTGTGTCTATGTGTTGTGTCTATATATGTGTATATATGTATATATATATATATATAAATATTTGTATGAATATGTGTATATATGTGTGTGTATATATATATATATATGTATGACTGTGTGTGTGTGTATATATATATATATATATATGTATGACTATCTGTGCGTGTGTGTATGTATATATATATATATATATATATATATATATATGAGTGTATGTGTATATATATATAAATGTATGTGTGTGTCTATATGCCTATATGCATGTTTCTCTCTCTCTCTCTATATATATATATATATATATATATATATATATATATATATATATGTCTATATAATTTATTCGAAAATTATAACATAAATATGTATATAAAATTACTATGAAAATAGCCATTTTGTTTCAACACTTCTGGTTTGTTATCAAGTGATGGTGTTGAATGTAGAATAAACAGTTTTAAAAGGTTCAAATTAATCAAAAACCCCTCACTAGGGGAAATGCTGTTACATAAGCAGCAATGACCAATCAAAATACAAGTATATGAGAATTCAAAACACTTGACAAAGAACCTTGGTTATAATAATGCTTTAATGTTAAGTTTAGACTAAAATACAAATCATTCTAACTAATTGATATTAAATTTTGCTATAAAATTAAAAATTACTACTTTTAAATTTAATCTGTATTAAGTTTAAAAGATTATAATATTATTTAAAGAAAAAGGAAAAAATACATATATTTTGTTTTTTATTTTGTTTTTATTGAAAGGCCAAAAATTGAGTTAGAATAAACGTTAAAATCTAATGTTGCTCTAAGCTTCGTTACAACTTAGACACATTTGAAGTGATGGGCAGGGGAGGGTGAAATCATGCAAAAGACAATACGTACACAATTAGATTATAATACACAAACATGTAGATATATCTATATATATATATATAAACATGCAAAAAAAGCGACGAAACGGGAAATAGGTGTCCACGACCCTGAAAAAAAACCTGACAACAGATACATACAATGAATAGCATATATATGCAACCATAAACACATACATTGATAAAGGCACACACATATACACACCAAGAAATATTCAAATTTGAAAGTGTTAGTAAATGAATTCAAACATACTATTAAAATATAACTTACACAGTCAAAGATATATAGAAAAAAATGTTTGAATAAATAAAATTTGATATGGGTAAAATAGATAAACAAATATTCGTCAATGAAAAACTGAAGGAAAAAGGACGCTAACATATATAGAAATGGATAGAAAAATAAATATATGTGCATACACTCACATAGGAAAATACCAAACGTCTAGGCAAAATGTACACTTAAAAGTATATATATGAAAAAACCCCATAAACACACAAATATATTAATATCTCATATATATGTATGACTACACATACACGAATGCAAATATATAACAATATTTTAAAAAAAATACGTGTGTACACACATTCATCACTACAAATAGAAACATACAAAAGAATACCTATGCACATACATACATATACATACACACACACACACATATATATATATATATATATATACCCAAGAAAGTGTGCTCAATACAAAGTAAAGCAGA